AAAAAACAACAACAAAAAAAAAAAAAAAAAAAAAGGGCCTGGAGTGATAGATACTCGTTTTGGAGCTGGGTGTTACACCACTTTGCCTCTGTTTCGATCACTGTCTTGACTAGGCAGGTGTGTTACCAATCTCATGGGATAAATGTTTTGGAGCTGGGTGTTACCCCACTTTGCCTCTGAATTTCATCACTTTCCTAGAATTTGAGTTGTGTGTTAATTGCCTGGTGATAAACAACTGGAAGTCTGTGAGTTGGAGAGACAGACACACAAGAAGCCTAACATGTGTTTCTAGACCATACAGATGAGTGAGAGAACAGAGCTGAGTTAACGGACTGAATACTGCAGAATCTCGTTTGTGACAGCTACTCGGCTGAGAAATAGCTACAGACTTGGGTTGACTCATTGATTTCATTAAAAGTTTTGGTAGCTAAAAGTGTGGATAAATCGTTCTTCAGTGACTTTACCCCCGAGATGCTGGCATCATGTCCATCGATGCCTTATGTGTATATACTGTTTGCTCTACAGGGCTGGCTCATATCACAATTCACATGACCTATGTGCTCTCATACGAATGTAAGTGACGTCTGTGCTCCTGGTGACATGTGTGTACAACACATCAGATCTTTTGCTTTACACACATGATATTACACCTTGCGTCTCTAACCGTGTGTTTTTATCTTAATGTGCATCTACTCAGGGGGAGAAATACCTACTTCGTCGTACGTTGTGTTTGGTTCAGTTTATTTGTGCACTCTGATACTCTTGGATTTATCAATGTGTTTTGTTTCGGGTTTCTCATATTCTCGACTTTATAGGAGACTAACTGATAGATTGATATAGAGTGTTGTCCTGCATTTTGAGCTTTGTTGGAACAGGTTGAGTAGGTTGTCACATTCAGATAAAAAGGGGGAGAATGTAAGCTCAAGGTTTGTGAGCTTGTTCCGGTTAAGATGAGAGTGTGTTACACAGTGCGATGATTGTGTAACACAATGCNTGTCCTGCATTTTGAGCTTTGTTGGAACAGGTTGAGTAGGTTGTCACATTCAGATAAAAAGGGGGAGAATGTAAGCTCAAGGTTTGTGAGCTTGTTCCGGTTAAGATGAGAGTGTGTTACACAGTGCGATGATTGTGTAACACAATGCAATAAGTTTGGTACGTGTAATGACGTGGCGTAAACTTATGGAAATAGAAGACATTGCTTGGGTGCGAAGCAAAGAAGATCTTCTGGTTGGCGATATTTTAGGAAATAGAATATTGTCTTTTTCATGCCTACTTAACGAGGCAACCTAAGTGTGTTTTAGGTTAGGCGTTAAGAGAGAAAAAGCTAGAGCAAGAGAGTTGTTCTTGTCGGCTACAGAGATCGAGAAAACAGGGGTTTGGCTTGGGTTTCTGTAACTTAGAGATTAGAAACTGGTCCGTCGCTAGTCGTGTGTGACTGAGCTTAAATCGGATTAAACAGATCTAGGAAGATTGTTTAAAAGGTTTCTAATATACAAGAAGTGTTCTTGAATAACTTGTGTACGGTTCTTATTTGCGTGTCTCTGAACTTTCACTCTAATGTTAAACTTCCTTCTTATCTGCAGAGGGAAGAACCAAATAGGATACAATCAAAAGAACAAAAACAATAGTTATGCAGAGAAAGCAATGGCTCTTTGTCACACCAAAAGGCACAACGTCGAATAGAACACCGATGATAAGAATCTTATTAAAAACACCCTGAAACAAACACACACACACAACAAATCAAGAAGATTCGAAAAGAACAATTTTCAATAATTGCAACTCAAGGAAGTAAACAAAAAGATGAGAGATCAATGTATTGATCAACATCGCCTTCCAAAAGCCATAAACGTCGATGTATTCATCACTCTCTGTCTGCATGTTCTCCATCCGAGCTCTCGAGTATCCTCCATATTCCCTGAATCTGAAGCGCTACAATTCCAAAAGGAAACAAAACCAGAGCATGAAATCAAGTATTTCACAACATGAAGTACGAAAATCTGCCGGTACCGTAAAAATCAACGACTCATCAAAGAAAAAAAACTATAAAAAAAAAACTATAAAAAACCAGAGCTTCTAGTTTTAGTGGTAAAAAGCTTACAGCTGTCAGTACACTTGGGTTCGTAGCCCGGCCACTGGAGAATTAACATTTTGGTATAGTTAAGGACAGAGGACCGACACGTGGCAGCACGTGACTAGTCTAAATCACTTCTGTGAGACCATGATACCTTTGTATAATTAAAAAAAAACTATAAAGAGAAACTAAATGTTCTTCCTAAGATAATGAAATAATGATTTTATTATTCGTTAAATTCCATCTCTTTAGATGGTATTCATTTGTACTGAATTTCAAGGGCAAATCTGTTTTCTAATAATTACGAATAATTACTGATAAATACTATGGGTGAAATCCATATTTTTTCCAATCAAGGGGTGATTTAATAAGTTTTTTTTACAACTGTTATATCCGAAAACCATGGATTTGTAAGAATTTTTACAAATACCATATCCCAATATGGAGAGATTTGGAAAAAAAAAATATGGAGAGATTTGGAAAAAAAACTGAAATTTTATGAAATCCTTAGGCCAATAAGGCCTACATAGTCTCCATCTTTTGTTGGGATTTTCTAGCCTCTTGTGGGTCATTGAAGAGGCGTGTGATACCTGTAAGAAAAGATAACAATTAAGAAGATAACAATGTTTGCTTTGTTTTTCGCTGGCATATCATGTGAAAAAACAACTCGGATCTGCGAAATCTTGGTTAGACTACGTATACATTATTATCGCACCATCGTTCCTATAATCTTGTCAAACTATTTATAACGACAAAATCCAAATTAATCAGGTCAAATATTTTAAAGATTATAAGGAGCCGCTTATCCCATATATGGTTGATGGAGAAGGGACACAATTTGTCGTAACGGTACTAAATCCATCAAAGATTCGGTTCAACACTTCCAAATTCGCACGCTTCATGGCTCACCAACTAAAAGTACAATATGTTGTACATGTTTGATAACAAAAATAATAATGTAATAAATTATAATTATCTGCTGGAATATATAGAGGTTCAAGAACGTGCACCAACTATATACACGACTATATAACATATACGCTTATCTTTTGTTTTTAATTATTTAGCTATTTTAGTTTATAGCCTAGGCTGTGGTGTAATGTTGCCTTCGTCACGTTTTCTGTTTTTTTTTTCAGATAACGAAGACTAAATCTGCTTGCCACGTTATAAACCATATTATCGCTAGACACTTAGTAGCAGTTCCCCACGAATTACATGTCTCCATCATTGACTAAGTTATATACTATATATCTTTCAAGAACACTTTCCCTATATCAATAAATTGTTGTTCTTTTACATACTTTAAAATTAATTTGATACCTAGCTAGCACATAACAAAAGTATTTAAAACGGAACATATAAGAAATGAAGTAGGACATTATTATGAAATGTAATCCTTCCCTACTATTGTTGCAAATTTATGATTAGCAATATTCAGTAGGAAATTTACACAAGAAAATGTTGGTTCGCCCATTAAAAGTGACTATTCATTACTAATGCTAATTTTGTCTTAACTTTTAACTGATGAAATTTAAATAATGTAGGAAATCTCAAAATGATGTGTACATTTGTATACCTTTTTTTGTGTGCACCGTGTGCATTTATATACAAGCTTGTATATTTTCTTTGTTCTTGCACGTAAAGAAATCAAACTGTTCAACGGCCATATATATAATATGAAATCAACAAGTAGATAAAATAAACAATAGTTACACTAAAGGGCCAAATTGTGCCAGACCTACAAGCTTCATGTGCTATCTACCTCCATTGTTATATATATAGATGTCACATTTGAGAGAATTTGACAAACAAAAGTCTAAATACCATTCTTAACTTCTCACATCTTTCAAAAAAAATAAAAAGTCTAAATACCGTTCTTAACTTCTCACATCTTTTTTTCAATAAGATCAACCTACTCTTCATCAAGCTCAAATGGAAAACTCAGCACTAAGTAATGTCGTGAGGCGAACAGTATTCTCTAATCAACAGAGATCAATACAAGAGGGTGTAGAAGAGAGTAGTTGGAATATGTACACTGAAACGGAATATGGTGTCAGCCATTATGATGATTCCTCCATGATCTCGGACGCTGCGTCTCCTATAGTCTGTGTCGAAGAAGACACGGCTTCATCTCCTTCTAAGAGAACCAAGGTTAGCCCAAAGAGAAGACAAACTTAATGTATTTGCATAATATATACATTGATAAGCCTTATCAATGACAATGCACACACATATGATGTCTCATGTGTTATATATATTAATCTTAGGCATGTTTGTGTTTTTAGGGTTGCAGTGAAATGGAGGACAAAAAGATAGAAGGAAAAACCATGAACAATTCTAAAACTGAGGTAAGAAACTTTCAACCACCTTCATATTTTTTATCTATATTTTCATAATATATAAATTACTGTGGACGATTAACAAGAATATATATGCTAACGGGTCTTTGTAGGAGAAAGGATTGAAAAAGAGAGGGCTAATGAATGAGGAATATTGCGCAGAGTTGAAGAAGAGAGGACTTTGCTTAGTGCCTTTGTCGATGTTGTCCAACTACATTAGTTGATACTTCGGCTGTTTTTAATCGTAATCTTTTATTCTTTTATTGTGATTCTTTTATGTAAAATCTGTAGAAGATAGTAAATTTAGTGCAAGTGGGAATAATGATGAATGATGTTTTGTATGTGTAAGTTATACAAGCAAGAGTGAAGATTTGTAAAACATGTTCAAACATGTATGTTTTTGAAGAAAATGTTAAAACATGTTAATATAAAGTTAACATGTTTCAATGTGTAATAAAATGTTATGATGTCTTCATGCGTGTCACAATTATTTGGTACAATCATGTATATATAATTAGTTTTTGGAACGCCTTGTATTTCGAATGACTGCATATTCTTGACTTTAAAAAAAGTTTCGATTCATTTGTTAATGTGCGATCGTTGTCAAACAAATTTAAACAATTCATAGCCTTTATAGAAATTTATTTTGAAATGATTAAAGGTCTTGAAAGCTTTAAGAAGCTGAGAAAAATTGAAGTAGAAGATAACTTTATTATAAATCTTTTCTGTTTGATTACAACGTCCATAAGTACTTACAACATATAGTTAGAGCTCGAGTTTACAAAAAGAAAAATAGGATACAGTTCAGTATGTGACAACACACAGATTTAAGGAATCAAATCGGTTGAACAATTGGATATTATTAGCTGTAGTTATCGTACAAAGATCATTTTTTTACTCTTTTTATATTGATCTGATGTTACCGTTGCATGAGAGAATACTGGGTCTGATGGACTGATAATGTTGAATATTGTTCTAATACACCCCCCTCAAACTTGTGGTGGGAGATTCCACAACACGAAATTTGTCCCGTAAAATGCAGAACGACTGTTGCGCTAGAGATTTGGTGAAAATGTCTACCAGTTGCTGAGCAGCAAGAATCTGATTGACGACCAAAGCACCCAACGCTACTCTCTCTCTCTGGCATAATGAAAGTTGGTGTCAAAATGCTTTTGAACGGTTATGAAGTGCAGAGTTTGCAGTCAAGTATATCGCTGATAAGTTGTCATATAACAATTGGGGAGTGTCAGGGAGAGAGATACCCATTTCACCAAGAAGAGAAGTCACTCATTTCAGCTCCGTTGCAGTGATAGATATAATTTGGTATTTAGCTTTAGTGGAAGAACATGAAATAGTGGGGTGTTTTTTTTCGACCAAGAGATGATGTTAGACCCGAGGAACATGCACATACCCCCAGTTGAGTGTTTTGTCTCTCAATATCCAGCCCAGATACTATCATTGAAGTCGCAGAGAAGAAACACTATTTTCGCAATTATCTTCAAACCAAGGTTGAGTGTCCCTTTAAGATAGCAAAGTATATATCTCATGTTGGTGAAGTCTGCAACTGTTGAAGCATGCATTTTCTGGCAGACGTAATTGACAGCAAATTGCATGTCCGGTCTTGTCAAAGTGAGGTATTGAAGTTTACCTGCTAGGTTGCAGAAGTAGGTTGGTTGATCAAACAATTTATCTTGACCCACAGTTTTGTCTAGTTGCAGAGGTAACATAGTAGCCACTGCATCATAACTCGCTATTTCTGCCATTTCCAGAAGATCCTTAGTGTATTTTTCTTGGCATAGAAATAACTCTTCTTCATGACTGCTGACTTGTATGCCAAGAATGTAGTGGACCGGTCCCATGTCTTTCATTCTGAATGTTCCATTCAGGGTGACCATAAGACTTTGTATTAGCTGATCATATCATCGACATAAGATGACATCATTCCCATTGAGGTATACAAACAGAGAAGGATCCCCATGTGTGCATTTGAAGCCAAATTCAATCAAGAACGTGCTGAATTTGTCAAACCAGGCTGAGGTGATTGACGTAAACCATATGTCGCTTTTCGTAGCATACATACGTGATGTGGTTTCTGTGGATCCTCAAACCCCGGTGGTTGTTTCATATAAATTGTTTCCTTTAACTCCCCATGTAGGAATGCACTTTCTACATCGAATTGCTTGATGTTCCATCCTTTGACCGTTGCTATATGGAGAACATATCTGATAGTCGCTGTTTGGACCACATGACTATATGTTTCAACAAAGTTTATATCCTCTTCTTGTTGATTTCCTCTGGTCACTAACAAAGCTTTAAGTAGTTTCAATGTATCGTCAGCGTGAAACTTAGACTTGTATAACCAACCACAACTTATTGGTTCTATTGCAGGATCATAAGGTACCAAGTCCCATGTATGAGTGATGTCCATGTTCCTTTTCTTTCTTCCCATAGCAGCCGTCCAACATGGATCTTTGAGAGCTGCAATAACAGATTTAGGTTTAGGGTAAGCAATTTTCACTGTCATCAATGCATACCGTGGGTTTGGTTTTCGGATTCCATCCTTTCCTCTTGTAACCATGGGATGAGCTGGAGCTGGATGCTGTATTTCTTGGGCATGTGGGGATAAGGGATGGAAATCTTCTTCAGAGAAGATGGAGGCAGGGGAGGGGTGGGTTGGCTGGTTCTATGGAAGTATGTTGTTGCGGCTGTCTTGGGATGAGAATAAATTCTTCTACAACGCCAGACACAACCTCAGGAAGAGAAGGACTTATAAACTCTGATTTCTATGCTTCAAGGAGAGGAGAATCAGACGTTGGAATAAAGGACTGATACTCATTCGCATAAGAAAACTTGCTCTCATTAAACAGAACGTGTTTGCTTATGTAGACTCTTTCACTAGAAGGATGCAAGCATCTGTAGCCTTTGTGTTTTTCACTATATCCGAGAAAAAAACAGTGTAGACTCTTTGGGTCAAACTTGTTCTTATCATAGGGCTTTAAGAATGGATAGCAGCAGCATCAAAACACTCACAGAGACGAGTAAACCGGTGGTTTCCCCACCGCAGTCAGAAAGGCTTCTACCCAGAGTTTCTGAGGGACTTTGCTTTGGAACATGAGTGATAAACAAAGTTCCGCTACATGTATGTGCTTCCTTTCAGCCAGCCTGTTCTATTGTGGTGTGTGAGGACATGACATGTTGTGTTTAATCCCACAGGACGCTAGTGCATTATAGTTGTTTACTTGTAAACTCTTCTCCTCCATTACTCTGAAACGTTTTTATTTTGCACTCTAACTGTTGTTCAACCAACTTCTGAAAGCCCAAGAATATAGAAAAGAAATCTGATTTCATTTTCATTGGGTATAACCAAGTGTATCTTGAGTAATAATTAACAAAAACAGCATAAACCTAAATCTTTGAGTCGAAACCACTGAGAAGGCCCCCAGAGGTCACAGTGAACTCTTTCTAAGGGTTTGGCTGCTACAAACTCAGACATTGAAAATGGTAAACGACTAAACTTTCCAAGATAGCATGCCTCACAGAGCTGAGAGCTGAATTTATTTGAGGTAATGGCCTTATTCTGAGATAAACGCTGGAGAACTTCTTGATGAGGGTGACCTAGCCGCATGTGCCAAACATAATCAAATGCGGTTTGCTGCATGTGAGAGTAGTAAACCATGAACTGTGGGTTCTCCAAGACTTAAAGGTCCTTCTGTCTACTACCCTTGGTGAGAAGCTGCTTTGTTTTTTTTTTCCTTCACAACAACATTATCAGAATCAAATTTAATATAACAAGGGTAATTAATCAGCAATAAGCTTCGAGACTGAAAGCAGAGACTTAGTTATTAAAGGGCAAACATGAACATCATTCAATAACAGTTTACCTTGCAAACTAGGCAAAACAGCAGTACCGACATGAGTTATTGGTAGATAATCACCATTACCAACTAAGACAGTATCCTGACCTATGTAGGCTTGAGAGGACTGCAGCTCTGAAGAGGTATTGGTGATGTGGGTTTTTGCTCCAGAATCGGCATACCACTCAGGTCTTTGAGTTTGGTTAGAGTCCTGAACACACATTGAAGCTAAAGCGTTATGAAACTCCTAAGTTTGGTAGGAGTGGTCAAAAAATTTATAGCATTTGTATGCGGGATGGCCGTATTTGTCGCAGGTCTGACACGTAGGCGAGCCACATCCTTGTCTTTCGCTTATTTTCTGGTGAAAGCCTCTGCCTTGAGTGGAGTAACCCCTTCTACAACGAAAACTTCCTCTGTATTGGCAAAGTCCCCGGGAAGAGTAGCCTCCTCTGTTAGTGTAAAAATCCCGATGAACCGATACATCAGTGGATGTTTTATATGTTGATAGCTTGTCATTGAACCTGATGAGTCTAAAACAATGTCTTCAAAGTTAGGACATGGGAACATGTTGGGCCCAAATATGGCCCGTTAGCTGAAATTAACGGGCTCGAGTAATAAGAGTTGAAAATGGGCTATTATAAGCCCATTAGCAATTAAATCTTTGAGAAAGGAGTAAAGAAGAAGCCGGAGGCTGTTTTGCTAAGGAAGAAATGTTAACAAAACAGGTCACGGAAGATAACTCCAAACCTCATTTAGAAAGAGCTAATGGGAGTACCTCAGGCTTGATGCGTAGGACCCGGTCAAAAAGAGACTGTTGAGAATCCCTTAATTCACGGGGCAAATCTCGGAGGTTAGCTAAGATCGTTGGAGCGTGGCTGAGAGCTATTTAAAGAGGAGGAGGAGATCATAATGGGGGGTCCAGATTTCATTCATTATTTACACATTCTAGAATTCTACAAACATTCTTGATCCTTTGTAATCACAAATCGTTACGCTTGTAATCATCTTTTACCAAAAACATTCAATACAATCATATTCGTTCTTTAAGTTCTAAACGTGATTCAGCCCACGTTATCTTCTCTCCAATCTAAACCTGATCTAAATTAGGATGTGAGTTTTATCCCTCACATTTTGGCGCCGTCTGTGGGGACGAGATAATTGAATCCTTTACTCCGTAACTTGAGAATGGATCCATCCAACCAGGCAACGAACCCATCTATCCCTGATCCCGTGATCCAGATCGACGGCTCACCGAACAAAAGAGACTCGGATCTTCAGGACCCAGAGCCTCAATCCGCTGATCACCGATCTGAGCAACATCCTCCGGCTAATGCTCAACAAAACCAGACCACCACTGGGATAACTAACAC